TATATATATGTATATATACACACACACACACACCTCTACCTCGATATAACGCTGTCCTCGGGAGCCAAAAAATCTTACCACGTTATCAGTGAAACCGCGTTATATCGAACTTGATTTGATCCGCCGGAGCGTGCAGTCCCGCCCCCCCCCGGAGCGCTGCTTTACCGCGTTATATCTGAATTCGTGTTATATCGGGTGGCGTTATAACGGGGTAGAGGTGTGTGTATATATAGATATAGCTATAGATAGATAAAAAATATGATGTGCTTCTACCATGGTAATTAATTTGTGATCTCGGATTTATGAATTCCAAAAGCAGGCATAATCATGCCATAATGCTTCACAAAACATAATTCAACATGGACCTGATCCAAACCCCACCGCAGTCAATCAGAGGCTTTCTACTGATTTTAATGAGTTTTGGATTAGGCCCTGTAAGAGGTAACGACCAGTACACTTGCACCCTCAATCAGTCTGTGATATATGTGTAACTGATATAAGGCCTGATCCTGCAGTCTTTGCTCAGGGAAAACTCTCACTAATGTCATCTCCTACACTGGGTATTACTACTACTTGTTAGCTTTGACATCAGTGTGTTGACAGCAGTATAGCTAGCAGGTGAACTAGCAGGTTCACATTCATTGGGTGATGCAGTGACATTTAAAACAGTAGCTTTAGCAGTAATTGTAGAAGTAAAGTTTTTATTTTTACACACTTAAAAAAAATTGTAATTTTGAGGATTGCCCCCTTGGACACTTCCAAGTACAGTTTCCCTGAACCATTCCAGTAAAGGAGTTGCAGCTAGCAAGGGATGTGAAGGTAACAAGAAGGGTTTCTACAGGATGTTGGCAACAAGAAGAAGGTCAGGGAAAGTGTGAGACCCTTACTGAATGGGGGAGGCAACCTAGTGACAGTTATGGAAAAAGCTGAAGTACTCAATGCTTTTTTTGCCTCGGTCTTCACAGACAAGGTCAGCTCTCAGACTGTTGCACAGGTCAACACAGTATGGGGAGGAGGTGAGCAGCCCTCAGTGGTAAAAGAACAGGTTAAGGACTATTTAGAAAAGCTGGACATGCACAAGTCCAGGGGGGTCCAGATCTATTGCATCCGAGGGTGCTGAGGGAGTTGGTTGATGTGATTGCAGAGCCATTGGCCGTTATCTTTGAAAACTCGTGGCGATCGGGGAGGGGGGGTCCTGATCAATTGGAAAAGGCAAATATAGTGCCCATCTTTAAAAAAGGGAATAAGGAGAATCCAGGGAACCACAGACCGGTCAGCCTCACCTCAGACCCTGGAAAAATCATGGAGCAGGTCCTCAAGGAATCCATTTTGAAGCACTTGGAGGAGAGGAAAGTGATCAGGAACAGTCCACATGCATTCACCAGGGGCAAGTCATGCCTGACCAACCTGATTGATTTCTATGATAAGACAATTGGCTCTGTGGATATGGGGAACGTGGTGGACGAGATATACCTTGATTTTAGCAAAGCTTTTGATACGGTCTTCCTCAGTATTCTTGCCAGCAAGTTAAAAAAGTATGGATTGGATGAATGGACTATAAGGTGGATAGAAAGCTGGCTAGACCGTTGGGCTGAATGAGTAGTGATCAATGGCTCGATGTCTAGTTGGCAGCCGGTAACAAGCGGAGTGCCCCAGGGGTCTGTCCTGGGGTCGGTTTTGTTTAACATCTTCATTAATGATCTGGATGATGGGATGGTTTGCACTCTCAGCAAGTTCGCGGATGACACAAAACTGGTGGGAGAGGTAGATATGCTGGAGGGTAGGGATAGGGTTCAGAGTGACCTGGACAAATTGGAGGATTGGGCTAAAAGAAATCTGATGAGGTTCAACAAGAACAAGTGCAGAGTCCTGCACTTAGGACGGAAGAATCCCATGCACTGCTACAGGCTGGGGGGCCGACTGGCTAAGCGGCAGTTCTGCAGAAAAGGACATGGGGATTACAGTGGACGAGAAGCTGGATATGAGTCAACAGTGTGCCCTTGTTGCCAAGAAGGCTAATGGCATATTGGGCTGCATTAATAGGAGCATTGCCAGCAGACTGAAGGAAGTGATTGGAATGGGTTACCTAGGGAGCTGGGGGTTGGAATCGCCATCCTTAGAGCTTTTTAAAGATCGGCTTGACCAAGCCCTGGCTGGGATGATTTAGTTGGTGTTGGTCCTGCTTTGAGCAGGGGGTTGGACTGGATCACCTCCTGAGGTCTCTTCCAACCCTAATGTTCTACGATTCTATGAAAAGTGTTTTAGGGGTGGCACAGTAACCCATTGGAGTCATATCCCGAGAAGGAATGCTCGTGGTTCAGATAAGACGGTATCTCATCCCCAAACATTATGGTGCATGTGTTCTTTGCTTTTTGTTTGCAGATATTTTGCCTGGCAAAAGTTTATACAGATTCCAATCAAGCAGATTGCAAATGGATAGATTTAAAGCACTAATTTGCAAGATTATGCATATACTATACATCTACTCTTCAAAATGTATTGCAAAATATATTGTGAAAATTAAATGACAGATGTTTCGCAGAGTACTTAAGCAACTGGATGCCATACCTATGGACAGAGAACATGTCTCAATATTGTAGTTGAAAGATTCAGAATATTTAGTGTAAGACCGGGTGAGTATGTTTAGCACGCTCCAGTGTTTAGGACTCAGTCCCACAGTCCTAACTCAGTCAGAATTGTCACTAACTCCAGTTGGAGTCTTCCTTGAGAAAGGACTGCACTATCCAGCCCTTAGTCAATACAGGAATTGTGTTCCTTCCTTTTAATGTGGGTGAGGAAAATAAGGCCTTTGTGACAGGTTCTGCTCCTCTTCCCAGAGGAGAGGACAGGACTCAGCTCTGTCTTTCATGTTACTCCTGCCCAAATAGCAGATGTTACCTACATTGTAGTACACCAAACATGTTAATGCATTATCCTGGTCTCAGTCCAAAGAGTTACAGTTTGTGGCTAGGAATCCTGAATGGCAGCACAGATTGCTGCCTCGAAGCTATAGACTTGGGACCTTAAATCATTGTCTGAGTGGTTGGCCACACAGATTCCGCTCTTGATGCATGTGCACTCTGTGCACACGAGATCAGAATCTTTGAGCCAGCTGCGTCCAATGGGCTGAGCCTGTGTCCTAGGTACCCTATTGGCCCTGCCAATCGAGGCCATAAAGGGTGGAATGGACTCCCGTGCTTCTGAGTTCCTTTTTAGCACCCATGGCAACAGGACAGAACCTCTGCAGTGCCTGCTTATTCTGTGCACTCTGTTATTTCCTTGGCTTTGTATATATTGACAACATTCTATATAATTTAGTATAGTTGATGTAATTCTCTTTTTACAGCCATTAGCAAAAAAAAAAAAAAGCATAGATCAGACAAATTTTAGTTAATCTTGACATCCATACCCTGAGCAGGAGTACTACAGTCGTGACAGAAGTTGAGTCATTAGGATTTAATACCTGACCCTTGTGTGATGCTTTGATGACCATTAATGATGGATGCTCTTGGTGCCCACTGCATATTGGAGTAGGACGTGTCCTGAGGCAATGTCGCTTTTTCTCCAAGTGTACCCAGAGAGCTAGGGAGGCAAGGCTGAAATTTGTCCTGTTAGAGAAGGCTCTGCAAGCCTCCTTGGACTCCGAAAGTAGAACAACACCAATGGCACAGACTTTGGGTCAGTCATTTTTGATTAGTGGCTGGTGAGCCATGATTCTAGTCTAAGCTCCCAGGCCACATTGATTTAGAGGGCCCATTAATCTGCCATTATGTTGGCATTGATGTCTGTCGGGCAGAAATTTTCTGCTACCTAAATGGAATTCTAAAGGCTCCTGGCCTATACCAGGATATCAGGTTTTAACATTTTAACCAATCATAGTTTCTGAAATTTTTCACACAACTGCAGTGTTGGTGTATAAGTAAGCTCTGTGTGTGTGTGTGTGTGTGTGTGTTTCTATTTCAAACCCTTCAAAGTGTTGGTGAGGATTGTAACTGTCCATATGGTAAAAGATGTTTGCCCACCATTTGTGACACATTTGCATTATGGCATCTGGTTACACTCCCACCTGCAATTAAAGCAGTGGTGGGCAACCTGCGGCCCTCAGGCCACACGCAGTCCATCAGGCTAATCCGCTGGGGGGCTGTGAGGCAGTTTGTTTACACTGAGCGTTCACAAGCACGGCCGCCCGCAGCTCCCAGTGGCCGCGGTCAATGGGAGCTGCGGGAAGCGGTGCAGGCTGGCCGCCGCTTCCTGCAGCTCTCATTGGCCGGGAACGGCGAACCGCAGCCACTGGGAACTGCGGGCGGCCGTGCCTGTGAACGGTCAATGTAAACAAACTGTCTCGCGGCCCCCCAGTGCATTACCCTGACAGGCCGTTGCCCACTACTGTGTTAAAGGGATCAGCTAAACGGTTTTGTTCTGGACAATGATTTCAGTTGTGAAACATGTGGCCCACTATGATAAACTGCAAAGGACAAGGGCCAGATCTTCAGCTGCTGTAATTCACCATAACTCGGTTGCCACTTTCCTAGTTTACACCATCTGAGAATCTGGCTCAATGGGTCTTAAGTTGCATCTACAGTGTACTATCCATCCTACTTGTTACCTAGTCAGAGTTGATGAAACACTAATGAAGGTCTTCTCACCACCATAAGAACTGTGTGTTTGAATTTTCTTTTTCTTTTTGCCCTCTGCCAGAGCAGATGATTTTATTCATCGCTGTGAAAAGTGGCTCATTTGCCCAGTGTCACATATTCACAATATCTGTATCATGCCAGGAGTCTGAGCATATAAAAATGAGTCAATATTTGGCTTAATAACCAGTCTCTGATTAAAGATTGTTGATCTTCTTGTGTTAGTACTGGGTGGTCCAGCAAAACTGGATTAAGTCAGAAAACAAGCCAAATAAAAGGAGATGCACCATGGAAGAAAGTACTACGTGCAGGTCAGCCACTGCTAACCCTTTGCCTGAGATGTACTGTTTTATACTCTTATTTCAGCAAATACTGCAACACTCCCGTGAAAATGCTACAAAGGTTATATTTCTCATTACTGATGGATATTCCAATGGAGGTGATCCTAGACCCATCGCAGCATCCCTGCGTGTAGAATTTGGAGTAGAGATCTTCACATTTGGAATATGGCAGGGCAACATCCGAGAACTGAATGACATGGCTTCCCATCCAAAGGAGGAACACTGTTACCTGCTTCACAGCTTTGCAGAGTTTGAGGCTTTAGCTCGCAGAGCTCTTCATGAAGGTATTACATTTAGTAACCCTGGAAGTATCATTTCAGATGCTATAGAGAGCATAGGGCTGGCTGGAAATACAGTAACTCCTCACTTAAAGTTGTCCTGGTTAACGTTGTTTTGTTGTTACGTTGCTGATCAATTAGGGAACGTGCTCATTTAAAGTTGCGCAATGCTCCCTTCTAATGTTGTTTGGCAGCCGCCTGCTTTGTCCACTGCTTGCAGGAAGGAGCAGCCCGTTGGAGCTAGCTGGTGGGGGCTTGGAACCAGGGTGGACTGGCAGCCTCCCTATCAGCTTCCCCTATCAGCTCCCCGCTCCCCTAAGTTCCCTGTGCAGCAGCCGCCCAGCAGGCTAGCAATCGGCAGTTCAGCTGTCCCTCCCCCCGTTGCCATGTGCTGCTCCTGCCCTCTGCCTTGGAGCTGCTCCCAGAGACTCCTGCTTGCTGTGCAGGGGGGTGAGAAGGGGAGGCTGATGTCAGGGTGTCCCCCTCCCCCCGCTCCTGCACCCCGCTTACCCCTTTTCCATATAGGGCAGGGAGGGGACGTGGAGGGAGAGAGACAGAGAGAGCTTGGGGCAGCAGCTGCTGTCTCAACTTCCTGATTCACTTAAAAAGACAATGCACTTAAGAGTGGGTCAGCTTACTTAAAGGGGCAGTGTGCATCTATCTCTCTCCCACACATAAGGTATGTGTCTCTGTCTGCTATGCTGTCGCTCCTCCCTCGTGTTCATGCTGCCTTGTGTGAGAGGCTACATTAACAACAATGTGTTAACCCTTGAGGGCTCAGCCGAGTGCTAGTTCATCATTTAGCAGCAAGGCATTCCCTAGGAAATATCCCTCACTCTTCCACCCTCTAACTTCACCATCTCAACCAAGCTTCACAATAATCATAGCTATGAACAGTATTAAATTGTTTGTTTAAAACGTATAGTGTGTGAATATCTATATAATATATAGTTTTTGGTCTGGTGAAAAAAATTTCCCTGGAACCTAACCCCCACCATTTACATTAATTCTTATGGGGAAATTAGATTCGCTTAACATCGTTTTGCTTGAAATCGCATTTTTCAGGAACATAACTACAACGTTAAGCGAGGAGTTACAGTAAGGCCTTGTGAAATGTTTCATATAGATGTTGTCTCTTTTCTTCAGTATTTTTCTTGTATTCATGTGTATTACATTCAACAGAAACCAACAGATTTCAGGAATTAAGGTAAATAGTAGATCTTTCAAAGTCAACAGATTGGGCCAAATTCTTCTCTTTGATGTGCATGTACATTTGCCCTTTGCACCAGTTTCAAGGCTTCATTTTACCTGAGTAAGAACTGGGTAAGAATGTCAGGGTTTGGCCCAATGGAGATTTTGCCTAAATAAGAACTTTGGGCCAGTTTTCAAAGGTATTTAGGCACCTAAAGATGCAGACAGGCCCTAGGAAGGACTTCAGAATTCGTCTCAGTATTAATAAAAGCCTTTATACACTGTGGGCAAATAACACATATTTAGAATATTTCAAAAATTCATAAAAATACCTCTCATAAATGTAAATGTGACGTTTCTTTAGGTATAAAAATTCTATAAAATGGAACTGGTTTCTGATGTTCACCTTTATGAAGAATTGCCACTGAACAAAAAAAGGAGGATAAAAGTAGCTGTTAAGAATATAGGGCTGGATCTTCACCTGGTTTAAATAAATGTATCTACACTCGCTTGAACGGAGCTATGCAACTGCACATCAACTAAGAATCTATCCATGAGTATTTATGTAGTTTTGATTTAAGTAAACCTTCTGATTTAACATGAATATGGTACTAGGGTGACCAGACAGCAAATGTGAAAAATCGGGACGGGGGTGGGAGGTAATAGCCTATATAAGAAAAAGACCCAAAAATCGGGATTGTCCCTATACAATCGAGACATCTGGTCACCCTATATGGTGCATATCTACCACCAAATTCTTTTGGTGCATGGTGTTTTTTTCTGTTTTGAAGGATGTTTAATTAGATCTTTTTTTGTGGAGGCGGAGAATCTACCTATTTTTAACAGTTACATATTCAGTGACAGACTGATCTCATAGGGTCATCAAAGTCAAATTCATTCCTGTGATTTTGGTGGAACCTAATTTGGGCCCTTGTTTTCCTTTTAATTCTTGCATTGAGGCCAATGATAGTTTTGCCTTAGTAAGAACTAAAAAGAAACTGAGTAAAGACTTGTCAGAGAAAAACAGAGTTCTCGGGATTTTTACTTCATATACTTCAGTGAGCATTTTTCCTCAGTTAAGAACTTCAGGATTTGAGACATACATTTCAAAGAACTGAAGTTTTGCTTCACATCGTCATCCCCACAAGTGAATATTGGAACTATAAAGTTTTCAGCGACATTTCACTAATTATTAACTATTGTGGCCTTTTTAATTGATTTGTATTGCAGATCTGCCCTCTGGCAGTTACATTCAAGAAGATATATCCCACTGTTCATATCTCTGTGAGGCAAATGAGAACTGCTGTGACATCATGGCAAGCTGCAAATGTGGCACTCACACAGGGCAGTTTGAATGTATCTGTGAAAAAGGGTACTACGGTAAAGGACTACAGCATGAATGCACAGGTCAGTCTCCATTTTTCAGATTCCCCAATTTATCTACATAGCCTAAATGTAAATCTAATTCAGATCACATGAAGTCATATGCTGTTCTGCATGCAGATCTATGACTATGGGCTGGTCTACACGTGGGGGGGGAATTGATCTAAGATACGCAATTTCAGCTACGCTATTCGTGGAGCTGAAGTCGAAGTATCTTAGTTCGACTTACCTGATTCCCGGTCGACTCCGCTTACTCCTCCTGCCGAGGTGGAGTACGGGCGTCGATTCAGGGATCGATTTATCGCGTCTAGACGAGACACGATAAATCGATAGCCGATAGATCGATTACTACCCGCTGATCTGACTGGTAGTGTAGATGTGGCCTATGAGTCTGATGCAAAGTCAATGGAAAAACTCCCATTGACTTAGTAGGTTTTGAATCAGGCCCTTGTAGATTAATCTTAATGCAAACGGTTCTTACATTAAACTCATGATAGACTGAATACTCTTGGATTCTCCCAAATTGGCTTTCACTTGCCAGAGAAGAAAAAATTCCAGTTGCTAAGCAGAAACGTATCACATCTCAATAAGACTTTTGTGTGACTATTTTTGTGAACTGCCCCTTAGTAGTGCTGATAGACAATCCTCTGACTGAAATAGAGACATTTATTGTATCTTATAGCAGAAACATGAAGGCAGTATTTTTGAATTCCTGGATTTCATATAGCATTGTCCATGAACAAAGATGAAATAGTCAGATGCAATATATAGCTTCACAGTAGACATTCATTTATTACTTATTTTTCACATATATAGCCTGACCTGCTTAAAGGGAAATAAGGAGGAAAATGATTGCACTGGTCTTTTGTGGAATTGGCTTTCAATCCTGGGACGTACTGGATGCTACAGTGATAAGAGCTATTATAAAAATATGGTTAGATGGCTATCAGCCATTTTGTCATTATGAAATCCCTTTTTACAAACAAAACCGAATTCAATGTAAAGTTTTCTTGCAATCAAAAGATCATCTAAGGAAGTGCTTTTTTAACGTAATGTAATGATTACAATAAGTGAAGGGAAAATATGCTTGTAAAAGGGATATACAAGTTGTGTCCAATTGCATTAACTTTTATGGGAGAGAAATGTCACAATAATCAAAACACTTCTTAACTTTTTTCTATTTAGTTTATAAGCTAGTTAAGAGAAATAGTTATAATGAAATATCACCAGAAAAAGAAATGTAAGATAAAGTTAATACTGATTTGTATCAATCTTAATTCTGTCTCCAAGCTCTCACATGTATAATCAAAATTTTCACCAGCTGCCTCATGAAATGTAAGCCTGCTCTGCTGAGTATATGAATTACAACAACGTTATGGCCTTTCATGATGTTTCATAATGTTTGTTTTTTAAATTAAGGTTATGTGGTTGTTCGCTATCATTTGTAACTGTTGTCAGGCCTCTATTTGCTCAAAGGGTAGAGTGAAAAGGACACAGATAGATCTGGAACCTAAGCATGGAGGGTATCTTCTCAGATCTCTGTGAGAAGGATGAGTAAGGTCTAACACAGGAGTCGGCAACCTTCGGCACGCGGCCCATCAGGGTAATCTGCTGGCGGGCTGCGAGACATTGTGTTTACGTTGACTGTCCGCAGGCACGGCCCCCCCACAGCTCCCAGTGGCCGCGGTTCGCCGTTCCCAGCCAACGGGAGCTGCAGGAAGCTGAGCATGTCACACTTTAACTTCAAATTTCTTTGCTTTCATGAATATTTCATTCTACCAGTTATTTTAAGTGACATATATTCTCAATCCTAACTCAATTGAAAAAGCTGGGTTTTTATATCTGATTTCTTCGGGTTCAGCTTGCAAGAAGGAGCATTCCTATGGCAAAATATGGCAAACGTATTCAACACTTATACCTCTCAGTATATTGTTTTTTATTAACTACTGCAGAAATCAAACGAATTTTCCAGTTGACCAGTCATTACAGAACTATCACCAGATCCTGCACTTTGCCTCTTCCGTTGAAAAGGGTCTGCTCTAGCATGAACGTGCCCCTGAACAAAAACAGTATAAACCATAACTTCTTTAAGTGTGCATTTGGCAACTGCAGAACAAAGTGTTATTTCAATAGCACATCAGCAATCATCTGTTAAATCAAAGTTTCACGAGATATCCTGTATTATATGCAATGCCAGTGAAGTGCCAAGTTCTGCCATCTGCTGTGCATCATCTGGCAAAGTTAATGAAAGTTGCACACTTCTATTTTTGGATAGAATTGGCCTATTCTTGCAAATATAACTTAATCTGCTGAAGTGTTGTATTGCCTCTTAGGAAAGAGAGAGAGACAAAAAGTCACGTGTATTCCTTAAAAGAAAAACGTATTTTGAAATCTTGTTTTCCGAAGTAGATTCCAGTGTTTTTTATTGAACTTTCCCCTGGTGAGCATAAGTATGGTTTTGTAAAGCACGAGGAATTTCCAGACTCTATGCTAGCTCTTTTTCATGGTATAACGCGTGGGAATGCTGCTGACAAGTTTGCTTTGGTGGGACTTGATGATGGACTGTGATTAATTGTGCTGCCTTTAGTTTTCAATTTTTTAAGCTTGTGGATACCATTGTAGATCATCTTTAATTCACAGGATATGACTTGCGCATAGAGTTTTCATCAAGATAGGAAATTGTTCTCCTCCTCTAATGTATATATATGTCACATTCCGGGGTGCAATCCAGACCAGTGACGGGCTGTGTCACTACCTGTGACGGGCTGTGTCACAACCTTGGGTGCCTCTCCAAGGTTTGCTGATGTAGTTCCCAACTTGGGCTGCTCACAAACAGCCTCCCAGCCTGCAGGCCGCATGCTCAGTATCTGTATAGCTGCAGCCCTGGTTTAGCAGTTCTGACCTCAGCAGCCTGTCAGCAATACATCAGTCACACTCTGGCTTCCACCTGCCTTGCTTACTACTTGCAGCAGGACCCCACACACACTCCCAGTCCCAGATTATCCCAAAAATGTGTGTTCTGCGCTGCCCAGCCTTCTCTTGGAAAGTTCAGATATTAAAGTTTTGTTGTTCCTGTAAAGAGTCAATATTCGACAGCTTGCTACTTTGACTGGAGTCAGGGGCGGCTCCAGGCACCAGCCCACCAAGCATGTGCTTGGGGCAGCACCTGGA